AAGTCGGTCGCGGGTTATAATCTAAAAGCTATTGCCAGTCAAACACAGCACAGCCATTACAGCAAAATGGAGAGATTTAAATGTACATATTGCACGTATGGAATTATCCACTCACTGCATGTCGTCTACCCTGATAAACATGCTAATTGTCTTATTATTATTAATATTATATTGTATGCACTTATGAAATTAAAGTTTATAAAGCCTGGTTTATACTTCTGCGTTATGATCGGCGTAACCCACGGCACATGCAACACGCGTAGCTGTTTATTTTACTTCTGCGCAATGTCTCTGTTGGTCTGCATTAACACTTTCGAAACGCTAGTTGGCAGTGAGGTGTTAATGTTCCTCTGTGTTGAGTTTTTTCGCTGTTGTTTTGTTTTTTCTAAACGCTTCCTGAACATACAAGTGACTCAAACTCGCTCATTTTGAGGCTGGAACCGGCGGACGTGGAACAACTTTAACTATGAGATAAACACAAAACAAAACTTTCTATCCAGAGCTCCTTCACGGGACTCCACACTTGTAAACAATCGCTCTATTGGGCTCGCGCCACTCGCACGACTCTTGGTCACGCCCCCAGACTCGTCAGCGCTGCCAAGCCGACCAATCACGACCATCAAAAAAATCACGACCTTGCGCTCCGTGTCCTTGCGACTTGTAGTTACATTTTTTGAGAGGTGCACATCATCGACGCCGACGGCCAATAAACAATGCTTAAACATTAAAAGTTTTTTTTAGAAACTTTAAATATTTATGTTTCTAATATTTAATTATACATTTGCTGTGTTTAATATAGGGGATAGAATAGCATACAGCAGTGGTTCCCAACCTTTTTCTTAGGGGCCCCCCCCATAGGCATATACAAACATTGGAGCCCCCCCTATTAAAATACACACTCACACACACACATATGTACTATATATATATATATATATATATATATATATATATATATATATATATATATATATATATATATATATATATACTGTATGTGTGTGTTTGTGTAATATTAATATATAATATGTATAGAAACTATAAATTGATCAGTTTTAACTTGTCTTGGCCTTCAATAAAACCAAAATTTAGGTAGGCTTTGCCATACTGTTTAATCTTTTTCTTCGCCTCTGAAGAATCACTGCATTTACGTCTCTCTGCCGATTTTGTTTTGATTTTGCCTTTACGACACGTTGACAAGCACATTGCGTGAGTAAGCAAAATTTAAATAATTATTTAAAGTTATTTATTTTAATTATTTTTACTATTATGTTGGAATTTTAAGCATATGTTTTGATATATATATATATATATATATATATATATATATATATATATATATATATATATATATATATATATATATATGTATTTGGTACTTAAAAATACATATATAATAGTAGGGCTGCTCGATTTGGGGAAAAATCATAATCACGATTATTTTGGTCATAATTGTAATCACGATTATTTAAAACGATTATCAGTTAAAGTCAAAATTATTAGTGCTCCTGAGAATTTTTTTTTATATAAATATTTCCCAAATTATGTTTAACAGAGCAAGGAATTTTAACAGTATATCCTATAATATTTTTTCTTCTAGGCTTATTTGTTTTATTTTAGCTAGAATAAAAGCAGGTTTAAATATTTAATTTAAGGTCAATATTATTAGCCCCCTTAAGCAATAAATATTTTTGATTGTCTGCAGAAGAAACTACTATTATACAATGACTTGCCTTATTACTAATTAAGCCTTTGAATTGCACTTTAATCTGAATGCTTGTATTTTAAAAATACCTAGTGAAATATTATGTGCTGTCATCATAGCAAAGATAAAAGAAATCCGTTATTAGAAATGAGATATTAAAACTATTATGTTCAGGAAAAAAAAAACTTCTTTCCATGAAACAGAAATTGGGAGGAAAAGGGTTGCTAATATTTAGGAAGGCTAATAATTCTGACTTCAAGTGTTTACATACAGTTATTTTCCACCCTGCAAAGGAAAAATAAATAAATACAGTAGAATAAAAATATTAAACAAACTGTGCTTTATGCATCTTCACTGTAAGAAAAACACTTTAGCTACAGCAGTCCTTCAGTCAAGACTAGTGAGGGATTTTCTAGTTGTTTGATTAATAATCATAGAAACCACCGGCAGCAGGAATATTTCGCGCTGTCTCTTTGGTTTCTCTTTCACATGTCTTGATTCTCAACTCGTTTGTTTATTACACAAATGAGGGTTAATATAAATAATCACTAATCACCGCGTTTTGACACCTATTTGACCATTAGAAAGCTCATGTTAATGACTTTAGATGTCTGCACTCCTCTGCTCGTCTCAGAGTGCGAATGAGCGAATGCTGAGCGGTCGCATGCTTCTGACTGAGTGTGCTTGCTGAGCACACACACATACGCACGCGCTCGTTCGGGCTTTTAGTAGCAACACGTGTACAACTAGAAAGGTGGCGGAATATGATGCAATAAGCGTTTATCTCGATTAATGCTTTTTTATAGTAGTTTGAAATCGAAATCGGATTTTCGATTAATTGTACAGCCCTATATAATATTGGAGCATTTTTATGCCTTTTTCTACCTCAACACTTATCCTCTCCCGCGCCCCCCTTGTGAACTCTGGCGCCCCCCTTAGGGGGGCGCGGACCCCAGGTTGGGAACCACTGGCATACAGTATAAAAAAAAAATTTAGTCCTTTATACCGAAATAGGCCGGCTATAAGAGGAGGCGCTCTATTAAACAAGCAGAAACAGCACAGACTGTTCACTCTGCATGCATGTGAAAAAAATAAACAGACGATAAATAATAGGCGACTCACCTTACGTGCCGATATGCCCATTTATTTAATTCATAACTACCACTAATAGCTATGCAAAAGGGAACCTATTTTGAGTGTTTTGCATGTAGTGACAGATTTTCAAATATTTGTAACCTGGCCTATAATAAATAATAATAATTATTGATAAAGCAAGTTATACTGCAATCAGGTGATGTGTTTCATTGACTCGAAAACCTTAATATTTTGTAGTGTGTGCTGTGACGCGATTTTCATTTCTTGCAATGTGCGCATGTTTAAGATTTGAGGTAATAACATCGCCATGATAGTCAAAGAAATGTAAACATTCTTTTTACCCCAACACAATTTAATAGGGCGCTATAAAGGTTAAACAACTTCATTCTTATATTTGTTTAATTTTTGCAGCCTGGGGCTATACTTCTCACCATCTATTGTATCTTTTCGAAAGCATACAGTATAGTGTAAAAGCATGTTTATTACTAAGAAAAAAAGAAAAAGTATTTTTTAATTGATCACATCACATAATCTACTGTAGGCTACATTACACATACAGTTAGGGGTGCTCTATTATGGGAAAAATCATAATCACGATTATTTTTGTCATAATTGCAAACAAGATTATTCAAAACGATTTTTCAGCTGAAGTCAAAATTATTAGCGCTCCTGTGAATTTTTTATTTTTATTTTTTTTAATAAATATTTCCAAAATGATGTTTAACAAATTCAGGATTTTTTACAGTATTTTCTATAATATTTTTTTTCTTCTGGAGGAAGTCTTATTTGTTTTATTTTGGCTAGAATAAAAGCAGGTTTAAATATTTTGAAACCTATTTTAAGGTCAATATTAATGACTTGCCCAATTATCCTAATTAAGCCTTTGAATTGTACTTTAATCTGAATGCTTGTACTTTGAAAAATATCTAGTAAAATATGTGCTGTCATCATAACAAAGATGAATGAAATCAGTTATAAAAAATTAGTTATTAAAACTATTGTTTAGAAATGGGTTGAAAAAAAATCTTCTGTGCTTTAAGCATCTTATAAATGAATAAATGATCACTGAACACAGCATTTTGACACCTATTTGACCATTAAAACGCTCACAGTAAGATAACTTTAGATGTGTGTGCTCTGCCCGTCTAGGCTAAGTGCACACACACAGCAGCATGTACAAATCAGATTATGAAAAATGATCAAGAGCATGCTTTTCCTTTTATCCTTTATTTTTTTTATTTATTTGTTTTTTTTATTTACACATTTTTTTAAGTGGTGAGGACAATATTCACTGGTTCCCCCCTCCTGTATAATAATTAAATGTTACATTTTTAAGAACTTCACAAATAGCCTAAATAACACTTTTCAGTATCAGTGATAATATAAATAGTAACTAATAATAATAATGATAATAAGAAAAAGAAGAACAAAAAATATTAGCCTATTGATAACAATATAAGTAAGATGTTGAGGAAAAAACAGCGTTGGCTACTAACTTTCCATTGTTTTTGGTTCATATTTTAAATTATTTGACAGAAAAGCTAACATGCTGACACATTGTCTGGATTAAGCAGACCTAGTTGGAGTTGCAATGTTTCCAGCAGCACTCAATACACGTTCAAACTTTCTATCGCAGTGCTTGTAGCGCAAATGCACAAATGCTTTTTCCTATGCTACATTTCTCGTCAATGTCTTCCATTTATCACTTTCTCTTTTGTATCTGGCCATTTTTAAATAGGGCTCTGCGATATCTGGCAGACAAAAAAATCAAAAAATAAATTTTAATTTTTATAATTTTATATATTTTATGTTTTGTGCTCATAATATTGACCTTTGCAGTTTTTACCTTTTTATTATTCAGCTAAACTAAAAAACGGAAGAATTTCTCCAGTGGAAAAATATAATAGGGAATATTATGAAAACATTGCTTGCCTTTTTTTAAAATTAAGAAAAGTCTTTACATGGAAAGGTCATATCAATTTCAGTAGTCCACAATGATTCAAAGCAGCTACTGAAAGTTATACTCGCATATGTTGCTGTTAAATCATGTAGTTGTGTGATGTATAACCATGGTGTAAGTGCACACCTAAGGATTAACCTTTTTTCCAAGAAAGAGACTTTTAAACGATATTGATGAACAGTTGATATGATCTATTAAAAGTCAGTGATGCTAACAGTTAATCATCTTGTTTGCTTTCAGGCTCTAGCACTGGCAGAACAACCTACATGAGAAGACCATGGACAAAAGCAGACATAAAGGCTGTAATGAGTTCAAAAGACTGATTATTATTATACACATTTTCATTTTTTTTCCTTGTCACAGAGTGACAATATTTAACCATTTTCAAACATGTAAATTTAAAAAAAAAAAAAAAAACATGGCCCAGGCCCACTTCTGTTCCATGCCAGTGCTTCACAGTCCATCATCACTCTAGGACAGTCTCTACATTGCTCTACAGTTTGCCTCTGCTTCTCAACCCATGTCTGCCACTACTCCACAGTCTGGTACTGCTCCACAGTCCAGGTCCACGTCTGCTTCATGAGCCTGGGCAATACCCATCACACAAAAATACATAACCCACAAATGCAGTCCCTCAGACTAAACATTTACAACAGTGTCGAGTAGCAAAAAGACATGATTTTTGTTTTTTATTTACATGTTTGAAAATGGTCAAATAATGTCACTGTGACAAAAAAGTGAAAATGTGTATGATAATAATTAGCCACATTATAACACATTATATTACTGTCACATTACGAAATTTAGTTTTTAATCTGTTTTGTGTTCATATAATTCTGTATGTATCATTCAATTTGTGGAATCAAACTTTTATGTCTAGTTTTATCTTTTTTTCTTTTTATCTATCTTTTTATCTGTTTTTATCCATCTAATTTTTGTTCTTGTCAGAGCGATAATAGTTTATGCATTTCATAATAAAATGTATATACATGCTTAATTGCCCTGCTGTTTTCCTGGACTTCAAAAATAAAATAAAAAAAGATTTTTTTTTTTTCTGTCATTGAGTGGCAATGTTTTGTATTTGACAGTATTCTAGTGCACTACCATGTTGTGTTCTAGTATAAATATTTAAATTTGAAAAAGAATAATCTGTTGAACGACTTAATTAAATTTTAAAATACCATTAGTTTGTTTATAAGCTGTAATCATTCATTCATTCATTTTCTTTTCGGCTTAACCCCTTTATTTTTGAGGGGTTTCCACAGTGAAATGAACCACCAACTTATCCAGAATATGTTTTACGTTGCGGTTGTTCTTCCAGCTGCAATCCATCACTGGAAAACACCCATACACAATCATTCACACACACTACGGACAATTTAGTGTATTCAATCCCCTGTACCGCTTGTCTTTGGACTGTGGGGGAAACCGGAGCACCCGGAGAAAACCCACTCCAACACAGAGAACATGCAAACTCCACACAGAGTTCACAGAGGGGAACATTTGTGTTCTGGCCAAGTGAAAGAATAAAATAATGAATATGTTATCGTACAGTTGTGCTTCTGGTTGTTCATGGTTGAAGGTTCTTTGCCAATTATGTTCTTTTTTTATCTGAAGTTGCCTTTCAAAATATCTACTGTCCTATAAAATAAGAGCAAAGGCCCTTAAACAATTAACTCTTCATACTTTAATGTTTAAATGCTGCCTTTTTCAGGTTATTGTTCAATAGTACATTAAACAGATTGTTTAACTGATACAACACAATAAGCCTACAGAATTGTTAAATCAAATGTGTATTATAAGCAAAATAGGATTTTGTCATTTAAGAAGTGACAGGCAGAACCTTAGCAACTGAGATGGGTTTAGCAGGGGTCTAGCTGAGGAAAGCCAGAGTCTGTTCTGTTGTCACCCTTACTGCAATAGCAGAATAGTGTGATATGTAAAATGTGTTAATTAGTCCTCTTAAACCATGAAGGGGCTAGGTTTGTGTGTAACATGTAAACAGACCTTGTAAACCATGATTTTGTCTGGCCCCATAAGCCTGTGAAATGTCACAAAGTTAATTTGAGTGTGTTGTGAAACTAAAATTGCTGTTTTTAAGCGTTGTTTGCCTTTTGTAGCTCAAATAAAATTTTTTGGCACAAGTTTTATGTTCGTAGGATGTTGGCAAAGGTATGTCCCCGTAAACCACCAAAAAGTCACATTGACCTCATAAACCATGTATGCCTGTGTGTGTGTGTGTGTGTGTGTGTGTGTGTGTGTGTGTGTGTGTGTGTGTGTGTGTGTGTGTGTGTGTGTGTGTGTGTGCCAAATGTGAAATTTCGGTGGTCTCTGCGAGTGTTTTTAGTTTTACATTTTGAAATAATGTTTTAACTAACTTATTTTAGAGCAGTAATCACAATACCATGACACCATAAAACTGTGGTATTTTTATCCAAGCTTACCATACTATCAGAAACTTATACCGGTAAAAATGTAAATTGTACATAAGCGTTGGTCTTTGCTTAATACCAAATAAACTGGCAACAAAGAATAAGACTTGAGATGAGAGGCAGAGCGCTAATTATCTGACAAATGAGAGTTTTGTGGTAACTTTTTAGCATCTATGAGAAAAAAAGCATGAGTCAGATTCCAGTGCATATAAACAAAGCACCGACTGTGATATCATTGAGACTATCTATTGCTCTGTATACTGTATATGTGTTAGTATGATTTAAAAGGGTAGTATTAACAGAATTAAAATAATATTCATATTAATAATAATATTAGAGAAGCCAGCATAATGCCAACTTCAGTTTTTTCTTTTTAATCAATCCTTAAATTTGAGTCAAACAAATAAATTAAAAATAAAAATAAAGCAGGCAAAACAGTCTAAAACAATATTCAGCTTCTTCCACAGTTTAATAATTTCACCTTATAAGATTTCAAAGTGGGGCGACATGGTGGCTCAGTGGTTAGCACTGTTGCCTGACAGCAAGAAGGTCACTGGTTCGAGTCCCGGCTGGGTCAGGTAACATTTCTGTGTAGAGTTTACATGTTCTCCCCATGTTCCTGTGGGTTTCCTCCGGGTGCTCCGGTTTCCCCCATAGTCCAAAGACATGCGCTATAGGTGAATTGAATAAACTACTGTAAATTGGCCATAGTGTATGTGTGTGAGGGTCGACATGGTGCCGCAATGAGTAGAGATGTCGTCTCACAGCAAGAGGGTTGCTGGTTTGAGCCACGGTTTGGTCAGTAGGCATTTCTGTGAGAAGTTTGCATATTCTTTCCTAGTACTAGGTTGCAGCTGGAAGGGCATCCGCTATGTAAAATATATGCTGCATATGTTAGCGGTTCATTCCTCTGTGGCGACCCCTGATGAACAAAGGGACTAAGCCAAAGGAAAATGAATACATGAAGATTTCAAAGTGCGCAATCAATGAACAAATCCTCAAAGTCAACCTAATAATTGTAGTATGCGTAGATTTTATTAATACTGCACACATTTCTCCGTTACAGAACACGCTCTTATCATATTTCACTACTGATGGGTCCATATCACAATCAACAGCACCAACGTAGTTCTAGTAAGCCTGTCATGCTGCCTCCATTTAATTGCAAAATGTTTTAAAATACAAAATGACTAGCATTAGTGTCGAATCACTGAACAACAGAATCCTTTCAGACAATAAATTTAAAGTGTGTGTGTGTTTATTTATGCAAAACACTAAACGTTCTTAGCACACATTTCTCATCAGGCTGTGGATCATGAGGGTAAGAGATTTGATCATGCACAGACGCTGTTCTGGGAGGTGACCCTATCTTAGGGTCTGCTGTGATGCAGACAGACAGGCCAGAGGCGCAGATCAATGCAAAACATGTTTAAAGATGCTGTCAGACTTAGTAAATGATGGCTCATTAAAGGAAAGAAATGATGGGAGATAGCACTAGGAGAGAGTGAGCGAGACATTGATACAATTAAAAGAAAAAAGCCTCTTAGAAGCTCCTTGATGGATTAAAAAAAAGAATACGTTCCATCTACACGCCACTTACAGATGCAGTTTTTGATGCATTTTCCATCGAGTCGCCTCCGATTTGTTCTCCAAAACTCATTTGCTTTTGCCACATCAAAGCAATCTGCTATTTGCACATGAGATGCTGTTAATAGATCTGAACGCAAGTTTTATTTTGTTCTTAATAAAAATACAACCAATCTCACTTTGCATAAAATAATTGGATTTTGTGTTTTCACAGGCCTTGGTTCCTGACACTCAGAAGGGGGTCTCTTTACTGACAAAATCAAGATTTGTGACTAAAGCGGCATATGTTCAGACATATTCAAATATGACCATCCCAGTCAGGTTTCTGAGATCTTATCTTCTTGTATGGTATCACACAAACAGGCACATTAAAGGCGACAACCGCCATAAACTTTTAATTAAGACTTTTAATAAATGCTTATCTTTATCATAAAGAACTCCACAGGGTTTGAGAAAACTTAGTCCTCATTTCCTCAACTGAATGCCTAAAAGGACACAGATCTAATTATGATTCCCACATAGTGCCTTCGTGCTTTCGTTACACCGAAAACCTCACTAATATTCTGCCTCCAGCGGCAGGTTTAGAAACAAGACGTGGAACCCACCAGGAACAAAATGTTCTTTTACGATATCTTTGCGCTTCAGTTCTACATCCAACACCTTTAATGAATGTGGCGATGGTGTAAGTGGACACAAGTGGATTTCGAGAAAGCTCTCACATGTGTAAAGATGCAAATGAGCGTAGCACAAACACCTCGTACAAAAAACACAGTAATCCGTGTGGGCTCCCTTGTTGCGGTTATATTTGCTGGGAAAACGGTCTTGGCTAATTCGCCGCTCTCCCGCTGCTCCAAATCCAGGCGATATTGATCATGCTCCCTGCGGCACTGCTATCGATTGGCTGTTTGCAGGTGTGCGTGTGTGTGCGGTGTGAAACTAAACTGGGTCCCTGCAGGGTGACTGAGCGGATGGTGGGGGAGGGAGATGTCTAGTTAAGGTGAAGAGTGTTGTTTGTCAGAGGACGCTGCTCATTTAGGGCGCCCTTCACTCTCTCACTCTCATACCCATGGCTCTTGTCGCATTAGGGTTGCCAGCAGTAGGGGCTGAAGGCAGATGTGTTGTTGAAAGACGAATGCAGAGATGAAGGTTCTGTTGGGAAACAGCCATTTTAATGCTATATTACATGTCATAGTGGGTAGCTAATGGTTAATGGTCACCACTAACTAGACTGTTCACAGTTTTCTATGCATAAAGTATGCCAGTGTGACCATTAAACAGATGGTTTGCCTAAAAATGAAAATGGCCATAATTCATTAGTCACCCTTGTGTTGTTGCAAAACAGCATTGACTTTCTCTCTCACAAATAAAATAATTTTGGGTGAAAAAAAAGACTTCATTGACTTTTAGTTTCTAGTGAAAAAAGCACTATTGAATATCTGTCAAAACATCTTTTGTGTTCCACACACGAAACAAAAGACATACAAGGTTGGAATGAAGTGAGGGTGTGTAAATAAAATAAAGATTTTAATTTTTTTATTTTTAATTGAGTGAAGAAAGAACGAAAGCTGCATGATATTGGGAAAAAACTGACTTTGTGGCATTTTGTTTTTCTGCAAAATATTGCAATATGAAAACTATTTTACCACTTGAATGACTTGAAGCTCCACTTGAAAATAATTCATTATTTTAGAAAGATTTGGGGGATTTTGTAGGGCAGTGCATCTGCATAAAATATAAATTAAAACATAGATGAAGCAGAACATAATACACAACTGGAATAAACAGTGATGTATGGTTTTCTTGAGAATCTTCAGTTTTTAGGTACAGAAACGTAATAATTAGATGTACAACAACAACATACCACTTAATTACTGAGTATTTTTATTATATAGTCTTTACTAGTCACTGGGGTGGTGCCTTGACAAAAGGTTCAAATTTGTACCTAAAAGGTCCATAATAATACCTAAAGGGTACATCTTGGTACCTAAATAGTACAAAAATGTTCCTCCTAAAATTTGTCGGTACCAATATATACTTTTGA